ACACACAGACTGTGAGTCGAGAGCCAGTTAGGCAGTGAGTAGATGACTATGAAGTCGTTCTCAGAAGCTGCATTGTCACAGTCAAGGAGTTGCGACATGATTGAGCTGTTTGTGGATCTCATTTCGCTTTTGTAAAACCACGACGGAATGTGAATATTTGGGTGTTGCTCATCCCGACACTGGAATCTGTTTACGAATCCTCCGAGATAGGCGTCACTCAGTGAGACTCACGTATCGCGCACCCCAGAAGCATGAGTACTGATAAATGAGCACCATAAATCCATGTTACAAACGTTATGGCCATGGCAGTTATGCGGCTGAGGCCTATTGCTGTATAAATGCTCATAAAAGCACCTCACTCGTGCGTTCTCAGGCGGTAAACAATACTACCTTCAAACCTATCAATATTTCAGCTTACCATGACTGAAGTTGGCTTTTCGGACGGCGGTAGATTCATTCGCTGCGGCGTTATCGTAAACACGGTATCCGGTCTTACTTTGGACCCTTTGGGGGTTTTTAACACAAAGCTGATTGAAAAGAAAGAAGGGGTGGATAGAGGTCTATTCTGCTGTTTTACGTGTTAGACCGAAGATATCCACCACGAGATAACTGATGACTCACTTGACGGCGATTTCGTAGGGGCCTCTGTTTTTCAGCACCAGAGGCTGTTTCACCTCTTCCCCGACCTTCACGCGACCAAAGTCCAAAACACCGTCGCATGCTTTGATGAATAGAGGGAAACAGTTAGCAGAATGAGTACAGAGCCTTGCGTACCTTCAATTTGGAATACAGGAAGTACTAGTTTTTACGGCTGCTCGGCATGTTTACGCGGTGTATTACTCAATATGAGTAGGAGCAGTAAGTTCCTAAGTCTATGTTCGATTCCGGTTGCGGCACCTCGGTAATAATTCGGCTGTCCAAATAAGGCGTGCTTCATCTAAGCCGTGACTGATGGTGCCCACGGTGGTACATGGAAGGCTATACGGTATTCTGTGGATTTTAATGGTTTGCTTGTGTAAAATTTTACTATTTTACTATTTCATTGTACACTTAAGCAGCCGGTGCGGATTGTTGAACCGGTTGTTGGGTTCGAATGCTTGAGTAGACCATTGCCACTTTGCTTAGCCATCGTTCCGATTGAAACGCGCGATCGCTCCCGTGTGTTATCGTTTTTGGTTCACCCTAGCTAGAAACGTCAACGGTATCTTCTCTTTAAAGCGGAGCCAAAGGGGAACCTTTTACTATACAAACTATACAAACAAACAATACATCCGTGCAGTTCCATCTGCCTTTTGGAATCAGTATCTGGGTTCCGGTTAAAAAACTTCTGCCGATGGTGGCCACTGAAATAGAAAATAGAAAAAGGATCACTGCAGCAAAGCATTTTGTGCTCTCCGATTACTTAACTGAGGAGTGCGTAATGAGTTCTTCCTATGGGAAATCTGAATTGTATGAGAACTTCAACTACTTCACGGGTACCCACTACAAGTGTTGCACTACTAAGACAATGTTTAAACAACCTCGTGAAATATGGACTGTCAGCTGTGTGAATTTAAAATTGCTCTTCACCACACAAATATTGGGGGCGGATGATCATGTGGATACAGTTTTTCGATTTTAATTTAGGCCAAAATAAACAACAAAAACTATGGATTCTTACTGTGTGAAAATCCCCTTTTACTGCATACCTCTCTTTCATAGGGATCTCATAACCGTTCAACTCGAATGACAGATGAACACAACACTCTTCTGTACATTCAACACCATTCAACTAGGCCATCGTTAGACGATCAGAAAACATTGGGTGTCTCCGGTTAAGCGTGCCCAATTGTTCTCCACAACAACCCACCGTAGCGACCAAAACGTTTGTTACTGCTAAAGCGGTCACATTGGGACAATAGACGATTGTCTGAGTAAACTGATCGGAATAATAAGGTAATGGAGCCATAGGCAGCTTGAGGAGCAACAGCAGACAAAATGCCGACGTTATCCTTCACAAGACGTCTGTTCTGGAGTAATCATCCCAAGTTGATCGGAACACGTTGTTGCAGTTGTAGATACCTGGCGGTCTCCTCGAAGTAGCATACAAAACGGATATTCTTCCATATGACCTGGAAAACACAAGACGGTCATTTCGACCTTCTTGATTTTATCAGTATTACACATCCATAGGATCCATCAGGATCCGAGTCACTAGCAACTAGCGGTACAGTGATCGACCCAGCCATAGCTATGCTTGCCCCAACTTTCATCATTTCGGCATGTGCATTCAATATGACAAACACCATGGAGCCGCCGGTGGGTTCACAGAAGTCAGTATATTTTCTGTTCCAACGGCGAGATGACCATTGTCATGGAGACATTGGTACAGACGACACAGATGATTTATTTTGTTGACAGGCAGCATAGAATTGTACGAGTTGTTCTGGTCCACTCCAGGTCACCAGATATGGCTGCATGCTGCTGCCTTCATCTTTGAATTTCCTTGGCGATCCATATAAAGTTCCCGTTGGCTTGTTTGACGATAATGTTTTGGGTCGACGACTCGAGAGTTTCAATGTATAAGAACATCCGCGAAGCTCACTTCATCTCTTCGACTCTGAAATGATTTACACCCTCGTCAGTCCTATCTGTCCAACCAGTTTAGAGTAGAATTAAGCCCATTCGGCAGTGCGTGTTTCTGACCTAATTTCTGTTGCTGTCACTGGCGAACCACAATCAAGATATCATTTGCATCAGTTCTCTCAAGGATGGCGTGTGGTTCGGGACTTCACGTAATGGAAGTCGGATGAGAGGGCCAACACACACTGATTTCCCTTCCAGGGAATACATTTCTATTGATACTGATGGCCAGTAAGTAGCGAGGTCTATCGAAGCATACGGGGTGGTGCCACATGGGATATCGCTAGTGAGTAGCTCGGAATTCGCAGTGTTGTCTTGTGGTCACTGCATTTTTCACGTTTCTACCCAACTAGGTATAAGTGAAAACGGACAACCCCAAATGTGCATGCCAAAGCCTCCTTGTCAATTTGGGTGGGATTTCGTTCGGTTTGCGATAGGTTCCGAGAGGCAAATGCAACTGGTTTGTTAACTCCGTTCGAGTCAAGTTGTCACAGGGCGGCTCCGACTCCGTATGGTGATGTATCACATGGCAGCGTCACGTACTTTTCGGCGTCAAAGTGGGTAGCGTTCTTCCAGTTTGTGGCGCGAAAATTCAAATTCAACTTATACTTGATGGAAAGATTAATTCCTTTTATACAAAATTGTAACGATCCATTTCTTGCACTGGACAATTGTTTTATGTTGTTTTATGAAATTACTACCTTTAAAATGGTTCAGTATGCATAGAAATAAGAGAACACACTTTGGTGGGTGAAACCGAATAAGTGCTCTGATGCGATGGACAAAAAATTGTAAAAGTGCACGTTTTTGTTGGATGAACGATTGGCAGCATGATAGATGTGATGCATATAGATGCAAACTACTTAAGAAGCAAATGTGCTGCGCTCCCACAGCCAGCAATACGAAATTACGCGCGAAAACCTAAATGTATCCTTTATATCCAAAAGCTTGGAAATAGTTCATCAAGACAAAATTAAAATGATCTCGGGGATTCGAAGAAATATCAGCGCATAAAGCCCTTGTCCATATTCTAAATATCAGTTATATTTGTTATCACACCAGGAATTTAATAAAACATTCTTTCTTATGTCCGTTTGCAATACAGACAGGTTGAACACTATCGTCGAACTAAGCCAAAATCGGGGGATTGCCAACGCACTTGTAGCTTGACGAAAAGCCAATTCTTCCGTCTCAGACCACACCCACCCCTTGCATAACCAACGATGCCACGAGTGTAACACTGACCGATCGTAGAACAAAATTTACGTAAGGATTATACATTTTAAAGAACAACCTCAACTCGTATTTGTTCACAGGTTATGGTGTCCCAAGAATAGGTCGAATTTTCTTCTCAATATTCTTCGGCCCCTCTGCACCGAAGCGAAAATCCAAATAATCGATGTGGGGTTCCAAAAATACGCACTTTTCATGTTCGGTCGCAAACCATTCTCTTTCAAGCGGTCCAGAACAATCCGCAGAGTTTGTGGATGATTGTCAATCGTTGTCCCAGTAAACATGGTATGGGCTAGGTACACGAAAGATTTAGGCAGCCATTTTATGATGTTCTCTATCGTTCGTTGGAACGTGTACGTAGCCGAGTTTATGCCAAATATTAGTCAATTATACCTGAACAAATCACGATGCGTCCTGCTCGTCGATATAGTTTTGGCGTCTACATGTAGTTCGAGCTGCTGATAAGCGTGTGCGAAGTTGGAATGGGATGATTTGCAGTCGAAATAATGCAGGTGACAGTAATTCCGTAGTGAACTCTGATGTGAATTCATTCATCAGGCTTTAGTACTGGAAGAGTAGATGTAGCATAATCCGAAAACGACCCCGGCTCTATGACATCACTCTTCTGCAGGCGAACAAATTTGCTTCTACATTCTATGGCATCACATACGACATTGACCGAGCCTTGCTGAATGATGTTTGTGTGGCAGGTGCAAAGTACACCTTAACTTGCCCATCGGTGTAATTTTCTTCTGGTGTCTTAAAAACTGGTGAGTATTGCTGGGGCACCGTTTGCATCCCCGACAATAATGGAGGATGGTTTATGTGTAGAAACAGAAGCTGATTGATCCAGTATCGGCGCAATAATTTTGGGCCATATCCATGTACGATGTATATGGTTCCGCGAGTTGTCGTCCCTATGAGTGATAGCTCAACATTTTGCGCCCCCAGCAGTTTCGCTTCGTCACAGGTGTATGTACGCAATCGCAGGAGCCTCCGACACATTTTGGTGTGGCTCGTCTGGGCCAATCTTTGTGGCTAAGTTCACCCGTTGAACAAAGTTATTGCACATTCCGTGTCAGTTCCGAGACGCACTAAAATCTGGTTAACCCAAAGCTGTATTGGTAATGGTGGCTGTGTGTGTGATAGTTGTGTATAGTATGTATTTGTGTGGTTCAATAACAAGAATTGCTTGTTTACTAAAGGGAAGTGTAGGTTTGTACGGCAGATACTGGTCAAATGCCCAGGTTTTCGGCATTTGTCATGGATTGTTTGAACATGATTGCACTCTCTAGGATAGGCGAGCCTAGTGCTTTTGTCAACATTGTTGACTTCGGCGGTGAACTCTTCAGCAATCTGCTTTGTGTTCAGCTAAAATTTCCGCAAAGCTGCCCGTTGTTTTCAGCAGCCTCCATGAGCGTCACAACATCATAGGCGTTTGCTATCGTCAATTCGTTGACAGCCAACAAGTAAAGCCGAGCACCAGACGATTTCGGATCATATCGTTTCGGTAGTTGCCGAAACCACAATATTCCGCCAAAATTTATAGCTCGGAAAGGAAGGAAGGTGCTGACTCCTTCACACCCTGAAAGCGGGCTGATAGTGAAGTTAAACCGCTTCAACATCACTGACGGTTTTGGATTGTGATTATAAGAGTTTAGTGGGGCCAGTTCATTCATTTGTTGGTGCATGGTATATCCGGAGTCATCAGGCTGCGAATTCGATCGTATGTTTGTGAGCCACTAATATTTTGTAGGACGTCTACATTGCAGTTGTCACGGACATTTTCAGTGATCGAGAAAAAAAAACACTTCAGACGTTCAATGTACTGTTCCCAAGAACCGGATCCCTCAATGTAGTCTTCCA